CTTTTTGAGATATCAGGACATGAAACCGCGATCATTTTTTGCTAATGTTTCAGAACTGGCGGAATAGTTTTTAATGGCAAATTCTTGGTATTATTCGGAGACGATTTTTCCTCAGTGAAAATGTCGAGACATCAATAATTTTCGAATTATAAGCAGTTGGAAATGAAGGTTTTTTTGGAAACTAAGCTTTGCAGAAATAAAATATTGACAGAACTACATTATTCAGTTAACTTTAGATAGAGTTTGCTTTAATAGAATTTTAATTTAGTTATAAAGATATATAATTGTAAAAATTAAGAACATACTAAAAACCTTCCTCAACATTTTTACTAAAGAAAAATCGTCTCCAAATGATACCAGGAATCTGATATTAAAAACTTTTCCGTCCTGAATCCAGTTCTGAAATACTCTGTATATAGAAAATATTTTAGAGAAACTAATTCTTTTTAATTTGGTTATTTTCACATAAATATAATAGATTATCCGCAATTATATAAAACGCGAAAGCAACGTGAAATTTTATTCAAATATTCCACAGAAGAAAACTTCCGTCCAGCTTCGTGTATAAATGTGATTTAAATTTGATTTGATTCGGATTTTTCAACACATTCCGTATTCGAACTTTCGACTGCCATTGCTTGAAATGAAAAAGTCCATTTGATTAAAGTAAAGTAAAAATTCATGCCAGCGGATGCTGCTTGTCGGCGATGCCATTCCTTCTGCATAAATTATATTAATCAATTAACGGGGGATCGTGTAATTGAAACGATCGAATGTAATTGAAGAATTTCCTCCAATTTACCTGTCGAGATACCGATGCGTTTTTACTCGGATCTCGAAAGTTTAATTTCTCTAACCGATCCGGAGACATATTTCTCGCGTCAGCCGGAGAGAAAATTAGGTCGACCTGGAGATCACGTTTTCCACTATATATGTACGCTCTTCATTCCTTATCCATCCTGTCCCTTTCGTTGATTAAGCTACGTCCGCGGAATAGAGAGCAGTCGAAGGTGGGAAGAGTGACAACGTTTGTAGAGCCGGAGGTGACTTTTCTCTCTCTCTCTCTATCTTGGCCTCGTTCAAAACTTAGTTTCGGCTCATTCGCCGCAAGGGTTCTCCACGAAAGAATCCATCCTCTTCTTTGCTGCTACACACATATACTTTCCGTATCTTTTCTCTCGTCGAATATCCCTTCAGGAACATATGCCTTTCCTCCTAATTTTTTCATCTCCTCTAGTCTGTCACTCCGTTCATTTTTCAGTATAAAATCTCTCCAATTAGTGATCAGAGAAAGGTCTGAAGCTTCATCATAGCAGCTTTTTTCGTGGTTTTGTTCGAGAGTTTTGTTTCGTGTATTTATATACTTAATTCTCAGAAAAATACTTTTCATTCATTTTGTGCGCTATAGAGTTGAAGGAACATGTGATATTGGGTAAATATTTTGTATACGCGGAGTTTGAGTTGTAAATGAAATTGCAAACTCTGCGGGATTAATTTTCGGAAAAAAACTTTCATGAGTAATGAAAATAAATACGACATTTTTATCAGTACCAACATACATACACAGGGTGTCCCAGAACTGGCGGAAAAGTTTTTAATAGCAGATTCCTGATATCATTTGGAGACGATTTTTCCTTAGTGAAAATGTTGAAGGAGGCCATCATTTTTAGCATGTTCCCAACTTTTGTTATTATGTACCTACCTTTATAACTAAGCCTTATATTAAAATTCTATTAAAGCAACTCTACCTAAAATTAACTGAAGAATGTAGATCTGTTAATATTTTATTTCCACAAGGCTTAGTTTCAAAAAGAGCCTTTATTTTCAACTGCTCTTATAATTCGAAAATTATTGGTGTCCCGACATTTTCGCCGAGGAAAAATCGTTTCTGAATGACACCAGGAATCTGCCATTAAAAACTTCCACCAGTTCTGGAACATCCTGTACATAATATACCCGAATAAAGAAAGAGAGATGGAAAGAGAATCGTGGCTGTTTTTATTCTGATTTCGATAAAAATATCAATTGCTACATTTTATCGGGCGGCCAAGGCTATCGCAATCAAGCCCGAGAAATCATCTGGGTCGCAGTACTTTGTTGCTGTCGGATCTTGCGTAATTGCTGAGACCGAGACCCTCATTTCTCAGACTTAACAAAGAGCACGCAGAGCTCTTCCTCGGCGGAGCTTCATCTCTGTTCGCGCGCGACCGGTTCGTATCGGCGAAATCCGGTCTAAATCGAGTTTTCAGAAAAATGTTCAAGGTAGAAATAACAAATGGCTCTTTGCGCTCCCGTGACGGGGCGAAAGGGATAGGGGAGAGAGCGTTCAGAAATAATCTAGAAAGAAGGGAGAACTGGACAAACCATCTGTAACCTGCCACGCGCGAGATTGTGGATGGCACGACCCGGAGGCGAACCATAAATTATAGTTACCCTTCGCTGTCTATGGTAAATCGTTCGCCACCCTGCGAATCCCTCTTCGCCTCTTCCGTTCTATAAAACTGTCCTTTACTTAAACTCTTTGGCCTTATCGCGAAACCAGAAAATCTCGTCGAATATCGATGAGTTTTCGTACGTGCTTAGATACCGAATAGAATATCTGTTTCATCCGAGAGATTCAAGAAACGATCAAAGTATTTCCACGTAATATCAAATGATGATAATTGTTATTCCGAACGAAAAGAAAAATAGAAAGATAATTTTCGCAGAGAAGCCGTCAAACTGGTAAATTAACGAGAAAATTCATACGTTGTAATTATAACTTTATAATCGTGTATACATATATTTGGAGAGCTGTGTTTTGTATAATTTATTTTCGCGACGCGGAACTACAAACTACGCAACACGCTGACGAGCAACAATCGATTCATATCCAATTTACATCTTTATTACCTGATATCGAGTCGCAGTTGACAGTAGCGTAATACACATTATTCAACCGCCTAGGGATATCCAACTTTGTTGATTGATATTCCTGTCCTTGAATATTATAGAGAGGAAGAGAACCGAACCGTGGAATTACACTCGGATGAAAATGGCTTACATTTTTTTGACGCATATAAAAATGTCTTTAGCGCGAGAAGAGCTTCTGGTTTAAGATCGCTGGAGATATTATTCCACCAATCGCAACCTACCGTGATGGAACGTTGCCAGAAATCTTTCTACTCCGGTACGATTGCGTCCGTGGTCACGATGAATGGTGCGCCACCGCACGAAAAATTGGCAATGCCATTTTCGCTTCCATTATCCTTCATCTCTAACGACCTCGGAGAGATCGGAAAAAGTGAACTGAATGCCGGCGCGATAATAAAAATGTTTGTCTCTCTTGTCTCGCGAATGAAAAGCGAAGAGCGATCGAATGTGAATGGAAGTTTATAGACAAAATAATATGTTTAATATATTTTTTTCTTGTAATTCATCCATCTTCATATTCGACTCGCTCTAAATCGTAAATAACATATTAATCTTGAGTTGAGAATTGCATGATTAATCGATAGCAAACTAATGCGTTTAAACTTTATGCAAAATTAATGAACTATATTTCAAAAATTTGAAATAATTGAAACGAAAATATCTTTATAATCAATAATTAACTTGCAATTCACAACTTTATTTAATTATACTGATCTACTTTAAGGTAAAATATAGATTTTACTAATCTTATTTTATTTAAGCTACTCCTTTTAATTTATCTAGCTAAATTGACAATTTATTAGGATGAAATAATGTAATTCAATCAAGACACGTTATTCTTAGTATAACAAGCCAAGAAAGAAAGGTTTTTACTCCGATTTTCCATCGAATTATTTAACTCACAGCTCACATTTAATTCACATCGATAATAATCTCTAGAAACCAGGAATCTTTCGTCTTTAGCTTATATTCTTCTCCTAGAATATTATTACAACCTCGTATATAGTTCCAAGTCGCGAGAAGTGATAAAGGAACGAACCTACCTGGTTTTTTTAAAGATTAACATCTTAGACCTTGCAGAGCGCCGAAATTGACGAGAGATAATATTGTTTTGCAGCACATGGTGCAGACAGGGATGGCTGCACCCTATGGTGGGGGTGTGTTCTATCTATCTAAATTGACAATTTATTAGGATGAAATAATGTAATTCAATCAAGACACGTTATTCTTAGTATAACAAGCCAATAAAAAAAGGTTTTTACTCCGATTTTCCATCGAATTATTTAACTCACAGCTCACATTTAATTCACATCGATAATAATCTCTAGAAACAAGGAATCTTTCGTCTCTAGCTTATATTCTTCTCCTAGAATATTATTACGACCTCGTATATATTTCCAAGTCGCGAGAAGTGATAAAGGAACGAACCTACCTGGTTTTTTTTAAAGATTAACATCTTAGACCTTGCAGAGCGCCGAAATTGACGAGAGATAATATTGTTTTGCAGCACATGGTGCAGACAGGGATGGCTGCGCCCTATTGTGGGGTGTCTTCTATCTATCTAAATTGACAATTTATTAGGATGAATTAATGTAATTCAATCAAGACACGTTATTCTTAATATAACAAGCCAATGAAGAAAGGTTTTTACTCCGATTTTCCATCGAATTATTTAACTCACAGCTCACATTTAATTTACATCGATAATAATCTCTAGAAACAAGGAATCTTTCGTCTCTAGCTTATATTCTCCTCCTAGAATATTATTACGACCTCGTATATAGTTCCAAGTCGCGAGAAGTGATAAAGGAACGAACCTATCTGGTTTTTTTAAAGATTAACATCTTAGACCTTGCAGAGCGATAATATTGTTTTGCAGCACATGGTGCAGACAGGGATGGCTGCGCCCTATTGTGGGGTGTCTTCTATCTATCTTATATTCTCCTCCTAGAATATTATTACGACCTCGTATATATTTCCAAGTCGCGAGAAGTGATAAAGGAACGAACCTACCTGGTTTTTTTAAAGATTAACATCTTAGACCTTGCAGAGCGCCAAAATTGACGAGAGATAATATTGTTTTGCAGCACATGGTGCAGACAGGGATGGCTGCGCCCTATGGTGGGGGTGTCTTTCCCCCTCCGGTGAACGGGGTCGCGGGTGTCGTGGGGGCAGCCGGTGCAGCCGGTGACGTTAAACCACCGCCGCCAGTGCCGGTGAAGGAGGAGAGCGCCGGTGCGCCCCAGCAACCACCCCCAACCGGCGGGCCCCAGGTGCCGCCCGCGACTGGCGCGCCCCATTCCGCCGCTCCTGGTGCGCCGACCGCGGCCAGCTTCAGTCCGCCTCCGCCTCCGAACGGGGTCGATCAACAGGCCATTGTAAGTTTTTGATTCTGAATTCAATACGCGGCTACATATGTCGGCCCGATCGATGACTAGCTGCGCTTCGCTTCGATTATTATAACTTGCGGAGGTGTACGCTGTTAATGATTTTAGGGCGGAGTCGGCTCATTTTATACGCGAGATGTATATCGGTATTATGTTAAACGTCGGAGAGAGAGAGAGTTCTGATGGTAAATTTAATGATAATTCGTATTTTGAAATAATATCTGCTCGAAGGAAGACAATGGTTGTAGGAAACTTAATATTGGATTTGAATATAAATACCTTTTTCCGAGAAATAATCATCATGTTGCGTGAATCCTGTATAAAAGCGAGGGAGGAGAACTTGGTTGAACTCTGTCTCATCTTTCTTTGTGAGCACGTGTATAATAAGTTCACGTGACACCGAGAGGTCGCGTTATTGGCCATCCGAGCCAGGGTGAGACCGTAACGAGACCGCAAGCATAGGATATACTTTGTTATAGAGCAAGTTTGTTCGTCGCGTTTTTAGCTATCGCTAAATTACGCGAAACGAGCTCTCTTGCGGTCACGTGACCTTACGAGATTCTGATGGCGCATTCCGCCACCGGAGAAGCAAGCAAGCAAGCGAGCAAACGCTCTCCTCGTCCTTTCCTTCATCCTGTTTGCGCGGTCGTTGTCCCGTCACGTATAGTTTACGTCGTCAATGATTCCAGACACGTATGAATGGGAGACGAGACCGCGCTGCATTGACGACGAGTGAATTCCACGAGAGGGGCCCCTTGTAATTCATAACAGAATGCGCGATAGGCGAGGAGAGTTATTTACTCGTTGAATAAAAGAGTTTCCCCCTGGATATTATATTCTCTGAAAGCTGAAAAGATGGAAATACACTCGCGACATATTTCCGCGAAATCGAAACTTTATATTTTTATTCTTTATCCGTTTGCGCGAATACAGATGATTTCATCTTAATATTTATGTTAATTGAAAGACAATAGCGATTCAGATATATAAAGTTAACGGGTTGCTTAACTGAATTAATCGCATCTATTTAAAATCAGCTGATTTTTGTAGACGCTAATTTCGAAAACAGTATAATTCCAGTTTATTCAAGACGATTCGTCGCGTAATCGAATTAATAAAGTCCGTTTAATTCGAATGATTTTCAAGCGGAGTAATACCAGAAGCAATAATTTCATCTCGATGCACTCGGACTTGTAAAAAGCTATTGCTCTTTAAATTTAATCTCCCGTTAACGAATCGTAATCGATGTCGCACGATTTAATTGGAAATATGCATGCAGGCATCTCGTGCTTGCATGGCTACCGGAAATAACCGGACTTATCTTAAATACGAGACTTGTAATGAAATCTCTTGTTTTTTTTTTTTTTTTTTTATCTGGCCTACTTTACGACGCAATACAGTTCATTACGTTATTTGCCAGATATGATTGTAGCGCATTTCGAGTTTCTAACTCTTTCCATTCTACTACAAATTATTAATTACGTTTTCTCGCATCAGCTCGCGTCCAATTCTGTACTTGCAATTTGCTGCTACGTGATTCACATTCGAAACGAACGAGATCTTTCGAAAACACTTCACGGATTTGTATTCTTCGGTTGTTCTCTCGAACGACATTTTTATTCGCCACGTTTATGATTGTGACCTTTGAATCTAAGTGAATCGTGCGTGAAAATGTTGATTTCTTCGCATAAAGTTCTCATCTATCGTTTGTTCACCTTGTCCGCACGGTTTTTCAATTCTTTTTATAATTTCTTTTAAAAATAAATTTAATTTCCAGAATATCTATTCTTTCGAAAACGCTGTAATTATTCACGCGTCTTCAAAAGCGAATATATTCATTCAGCGACCGATCAATGTTACACGCTCGTGGAAAATGATTAATCGGTAATTGCGTTTTAATAGTGAATTCTCTTTGTTTGAAATCGGTCCGTGGGGAAACGACGTTCGCGTGATAGATACGCGATTACGAGATATAATCCGGTGCCATTAATTCACTTGAAATTCATACGCGCGTGGAGGCTTCGCTCTCGCGTCGAAGAGCTGCAATGCGTTTTCGTCCCATCGACCGACCGTCTCTCCCATTCATTACGATCGGAGACACCGTGCCGGACCAGGTTTCCATCTCTGATTTACGATCGTCCTGAGTTACGGAACGGCGAGGATAAACGCGACGATCGCCGTTTAATGCTAAATAAATATCGGAGACGCGATAATTGATTTTCATGCTCGACTCTCGAAATGCAAAGCGCGCTTTCGCGGGATATCGCGCATATATGCATAACGAAGAGTGCATGTGCGACGAAAGTAACGTCTGCACATCCCGTGTAATTCATTACCGGCAATGACGTTAATATATAAATCTCGTTAGTTTCGCGCGAACTCCTCCCTGTATTTTACTTTCGACAACGCCAGAACGCTCTTTTTATTCATTGCTCGTAAATTCGAGAGTACGATAGCTCCGTGTATGTGTGTGTGTGAAAAGGAAATGAATGAATGGTGGTGAATTGGATTAGATTTTGATATTTAACGAATCTCCATGAATAATTTTTGTATTCTAAAGTTACCATTATTTGTGACAATATATTATTAAACCGCTGACAGTATATAAAACTGCTATGTAGAGGCAAAACTTTTATTTATATAAATAATATCAATTATATTTGTATATCCAGCTGGAAATAAAATTATTTTTATATCTTCGAACGAAATATAGATGCGGCTAAACGGAGAGAAAATCCACAGTTTTACGACAAAAGAAAAATATTCTTCAAGTTGATTATTCTCGGCGATTTATCAGCGATTCTTCAAATTACTATAAAAATATGACACTCACGTTTCATCAAGAAACTCTCTGCGACGGCTCTCATTTTTTTTTCTTCTCGCCAAAAATAAGTTTCATCAATCAACCGCGGATTCGATAACGACAATTAGACGGTGAAAAGTGAATAATTCGCGAACAGCGTCGCGGTTTTCCCTCTCCACGATCGCGGTCGCTTTGTCCCGCGGCCAAAATTCGTCTGCTCAATTAATCGGTTAGTCATCGAGACGAGAAACGCGGTTGCCTTGGACGCGCGCGCAAGATATCACCTGGGAACCTGCATTTTCCCCTGTTTCATTCCGAGCGGATGGCCGCGCAATTGTATTGTGTTCGCACCGTTGCGACAACACGTATATTATATTATCGCGGAACTACGGAACGTTATGCCACGCGGACTCGCGCGCACAATACGGTCGGTCGGCCAATTCGTCGTACATAAATTTTTGACTCGAATATAAATCACGGCCGTCATAAAGAAGATATATCGCTGTCCCGAATCGCGACGATTTTCAGGATAGAGTATATTATTAAGAAATTGTCTTCGAAATTAGAACCAGCTCTAAAATTACGTATTTAATTTGACGTCTCGAGAGAGAGAGAGAGAGAGAGTTTGCATCTTTCGCAAAATAATATATGCATAATAGAGAATTAATTAAAATTTAATGCAATATACGCTGTGTATAATGTTATGCATTACAAAATGGGATTTTATTAATATAGTAAAGTTATGGGTTTTTTTTTTAATAAATTTTCCACTTTATTAATTTCCCACAACTCACCTCGTAGGGAATATTACACAGCGCGAACATAATCCCAGTTTCCCCAACAATATAACATTGCACATCGTTATAACGCACGTAGTATCCGTATCTTTCGGTGCATTTCCTAGTTATCTAGATGCATGAGGATGGCGCATTCGAGTTTCCCAGCATATTAGGCGAAATGCCGTTGGACTCTCTTTCGAGTTAACTCGCACGAGACGGTTTTAGCAATCCGCTGTCTCTATAGTTCCGTGCGAAAATTTCCGCCATGCGCCAAGACATATTACTGCTGAAATAACCCGGTTCAGCAAATGTGTTATGCCACGACCTGTTTTAAACTAGCGCATTTCAAAACATATAGACGAGCAAAAAGTTTCCGCCTGCAATTCTTTCAAAACTCATATATATATATATAGGTATATATAGAACGTCCTCTTTACTGAAATAATAAACTCTCTGAGTTTTCAATTATTCCCAACCTTCCGATTGCGTCTTATATCTTATTATATATTTATTTAATTAAATTTAAATAAATAAATAAAATTGTATTACAGAGTTAACATAAAATTAAAGTAGAGACCGCGCGCGGATAAAAAAATATTATTTATTTCGCATTATTCTGATTATCTCAGTCTACCGGAAAGACCGCGTCTCGGAGTATTCCACTCTTGTAAGTACTTCCTCTTTCGCGTACCTATTAAGGGAACAGAAATTGGTCGAGGGGATCGGGCGAATTGAAAGAAACATGGAGAATCTCGAGACATTATGAATATATATATATTTTTGAAATATAAAGTTGCGCAAAGAGGGCGGACATTTCTTTGGCTCTTTATGTTTTTCCGCTCGCGATGAAAAGCGAATCCGCCAGAGCGCATTCAACGGCGTTCGTTAGTCGCGGAAAGCCGAGGCCGCTTTGCCAAGTACTCGAATACGCTGCGAAGAGCTCGGCTATTCGTCGAGTTTACCGGCGCGAAACTTTGCAATACACGCGCAAGCAACCGGGTTTGAAAATTTTCCGGCTCTTTCCTTCTCCATCTCCGCGCTTTTTTTTCCACGACAACCTGCCGCTAATGAATATAAAGTTGCGGCCGTCGTCTGGAACTTTCTGAAATTACCAAGTAGCGGCGAATTATACCGTCGCGACGCCTTATTCAGCGAGGGAAAATGTCCCTAATACTAGCCATTGCGCATTGTTTTATTGTTTTCCGTCGCATTGCGCTCTCTCTCTCGGACCATTTTCCCGGAACAAGGGCCGATAAAAAGCGCTTTTCTTGATTACTCTTTGATTATTCGAGTTTCTTTGCTTACTAAAGATTGGAGAACTTTGAGAAACTTGAGAAAATTACTCGGATATTACCGGGAATTGTCGCACTTGGATCACAAAGATGATACACTTACATCTTACTGGATGT